GAGGTATGGGAGGGTGAGAGGATTCGCCAGAGACAGAGTGGGGAGCAGAAGAGGCAGGTCCACTGTAATACACTGCTGAGGGCAGCCACGGGCCAGTCAGGAGAGGGCTGACATGCCATGTGGGTCAACTCCCTGGCCGGGGATACAGTGGCTTCAGAGAGCTTCATAGTGCTATGCTTTAATCCATTGCATCACCAGGGAAAGTCCTGGGCCCTATTTCTTAATAATAATAACAACCAACAGTTATAAAGCTATATTGACTTGCTTTGTTTTAAGCCACTTAATTCTTACAGCAATCCTGCTGGGCTGGGAATATGATGATCTGTACTTACAAATTAAGAAACAAAAGCACAGAGAAGTGAAGTACATTGCCCAAAGTCACACAGTACACCCAGGATTTGGATCCAGGAAGCCATTTCCGAAGACTGTGCCTATGCACTTAACGTGTTACCCACCCCTAAATGCCTGTCTTCTCTCTGCAGAGAATAAAATTGAAGAAGAGACCTTCTGGCTCCAGATGAAAACAAGGTCAGGCCATCAGGATTGTGGGCTCAGGGGGTGGGGAGGGCAGGACTCCAGATCCCTTAGCAGCTCTCCTTGGGTAGTGAACAGAAGACAGGAAACAGCCAAATTTTCCCCTCCATACCTACTCCCTCAACCTGCCCTACCCTTCCTGTCTCCTATTCTGTTCCTACTCTGCCCTCCCATGCTCTTTTGCTCAGAGTTCTGCCCCCCATCCAGCCATATCTTGGGATGGCAGGTTCTGTGGACCAAGATGCCCAGATAGGCTCCAAGTTTCACAGCTTTCCCCAGCCAGCCCTCACCTTCCCAGATCAGTCCTGCTCTGCCTCCCAACTGCCTTCACAATGGTCTGCCCCAGATAAAAACATATACTGAGTATCAGGCTCTGTTGTAGGAGCTGGAGGGACCACTATGAGTGAGGCAGCCACTCTCCACCTGGTAAACATCAAGTATATCAAGGGAGACAGGCAACAGCTAAACAAACAGCCAGAAATGATGAAAAATGACAGATGTGATTAAATGTAGTGAAGGAGCAGTCCACGTTGCCTCAGGAGGACAGATGAGAGAATGATCAAAGTACAGAGGCAGCTATGCAAAATGAAAGGATTCCCCAGGATGAAGAGGAAGAAGTGAGGATCCCAGGCTGAGAGAATAGTATGTGGAAAAGGTCCAGTAGTGAGAAAGAGATTTATGCTTAAAAGCAATTAAATGGAGGCTGGGATGAGAGAACAGGAGGTAGAAGTGTAAGCCAAGTTACTTGGTAAAGATTTTTCAGCAAGGAAGCTATATGTAAGATTTTTGTGTGCTGTTGGGGGCAGAGGAGTGATGGGAAGACCCCTGGAGGAGGCAACTTGTACTTCTCCAGGCAAGAGATGATGGGGTATAGGGGTTGCGGGGGGTAGTCAGGAGTACAATGGAAATAGACTGGAGTCATGAATTCCCCAGGTTCAAGGATGATCGAGAGGCCACAATGAGCATCATGGAGGTCTCTATGCTCACTGGCTTCTACCCCAATCAGAATGACCTCAAACAGGTAATGTGATCACATAACCTTATCACTGCTGAGCAGGGTGGGAAGGCCTGCTCACAACACCCCACATTCCCAGGTGGGCGCAGGTCAGTGAGTATCATCATAGAGGCTCCTGGGTTAATGTCCTCAGGTCCCTGCCTCATTGTCAGTGGCCATGGTCTCGCCATATCCTCCTCCAAATCCTTGCCATGACTGTGCTTCAGCTTTCCTCCAGTTTCCCCTGATTGGACAAGCTAGGAGCTCTGAAAGGTGCTTTAACGGACTGGAGTTCAAGGGCTGGTAACATTTTGGGGCCTTTGCTCACCCCCAATCATCACCCTCTGTCCCAGCTCACAGACAATGTGGAGATGTACGCCTTCCAGTACGAAACCAAGACATCCTCCAGTGACAGCACCGTTGTCCTCTACCTGGAGAAGGTGAGGAAGGCCCAGTGATCTCTGCCGAGGCCTCTGTTGGTTGTTCAGGGGCAGAGAACCCAGTTGGCACCTTTGGCGGTGTTACCAGAGAGCCATGCCTTCTGTGGTCGGTTCTTCTAATTTGAATGCCCACATGGTCAATGCGGTCAGCCCCACGAAGTCAGTGACCCATGGTAGCTCAAGTCAATGTCTCTGGTCAGCTCAGTTCCCCTCCCCCAGGTCTCCCACAAAGAAGACACAGTGCTGGGCTTCCGGGTCCACAGGATGCTGCAGGCAGATTTCCTGCAGGCCGCCCAGGTCACCATCTACGACTACTACGAGCCTTGTGAGCAGGGGTCTGGGGCTGACGGGGAATCCCTCAAGGGGACCTGGTCTTCGAGAAGGTGGGATGAAGGGACAGGCCAGAAGTGAGGAGGCAGGGGGAGAGATAGAAGGGACCTAGAGGGATGTGGGGATAAGGCATCTGAGCTCCCGGGTTGTTAAAGAGGCCCTCCTGGAAGAGGGTGGGGCGGAGCTGAAGAGACTGGGCGTGGCCTGCTGGAAATTGTGTCATGGAAGGGGCGGGGTCTGTTGGTGAGCGACCACCAAGTGGGGTGGAGATTGCTGGGGGGGTGGGGAGGGGTGCATAGGAGACCCTGCCGTGAGAAAGCTGGTCCAAGCCAACCCCAAGCACCAAGCCTTCACTCCTACACCATCCCCTCGAAGCCCGAAGGTGCAGCGCCTTCTACAACCTGCCTAAAGAGCAACCTTCCCTGCGAAAGATCTGCCACAGTGAAGTCTGCAGATGTGCCGAGGGTGAGGTCATGGGGCCACGGAGGGCTGCGCTGTCAGCCTGGGGGTCCAGGGACCCTTCGCCACTTCTTGGCTGCCACCTGGGCTGAGTTTAGACAGAAAGACAGAGACAGCGAGATAGGGGGAAAGACACAAAGAGAGGCAGAGGAAAGCAGATCCAGAACCGAGATTTACACACATACGCTCAGCCAGTCAAAGACAGCGCAGAGCCAAACCACTAACAAAACCTAGCGGCCTCACTAGAACTGGGGCTACCAGATGGGTGGGTGGAGGGGATCCAGCAGACAATGGTGGAAGACTATGGGTGCCTTGGGGTGGGGGTGGCGTGTTGACATCCATCTAAAGAGGTGTGAGCCTGTATGGCTGAATCACATACAGTGTGGTAAACTAATGTTACCTTAAAAAAATGTTTTAAGTCAACCAAAACGAAAGCCCATCCTAGAGGAAGACATAAAGACACGCAGGTGGGAAAAAACAGACAAGAAGACAAAAAGGAGATCCAGAGGGGGAAGGGAGAGCATCCCACAGATGAAAAAAGCCAGACCCAGAGACCCGGGGTTGAGAAGTCTGAAGGGAGGCGTCCCCCTCACCCCCTACCCCACCCACACCCACACCCCACCCCTGGGGCAGTGCAGCCAAAGCAGCAGCCTTCCTGACCCTTCAGAACAGTGCCCTTCCCTGAGGAAGGACAGCAGCACAATCAAGAAGTCCGAACTGCAAGTGGAGGCCTGTGAGACTGGCGTGGACTTTGGTGAGTGCTGTAGTGGCTGGGCTCAGTCCTAGAACCACCTACAGGAGTCACCAGCACAAATGCCCTTTTGCCACCTTCTTCCTCAGTGTACAAGGTCAAGCTGGAGGAAGTGGAAACCTCGGCATCCAACCCCTACATCTACTACAACATGCAGCTCCAAGCCATCATCAAGAGCGGTATGTTCCTGGAGGAGGCAGCTGGGAACCTACCCTGGGGACCCCAAAATGGGGGGAGGCGGACCTGGGCATGCTCACATACTGGGTTTCCTCTCCTCCAGGCACGGACTCTGCCCTACCCCTCACCAGGAAGAAGTTTGTCTCCCACACCAACTGCTATGACGCCTTAGGGCTGCAAGAACAGGAGACATATCTGATCATGGGCCAGGCCTCAAGCCTGTGGAGAATCAAATCTGAGTGCGTGGGGGCCCCTGCTGCCCCGGGGACTCAGACCTGGGTGCCCTCCCCGCTCCAGCCCAGCCCAGCCCAGCCCTTGGTGTTGAAATTCCTGAGAAAACTGGCACTCAGCAAGTGTCTCAGGTTTCAGGGCTGCCCTGGGAGTAGGCTGTGCACTGCACAACTCCGTGGAGCAGGGACTCTTAGAGATGGGCACAAACATGTGCAGATTCTGCTGTTCAACCATAGTCAGTAAAGAGTCAGAGGAAAAGTCGCCATCCCCAGCCCGTGCTTTATGGTCTAGAGGCTTGGCAGGGCAGGGTAGCAAGATGGCCCTGTGGAGGGGATGCGCTAGACTGAAGATCCACAGCTTCTAAGTCAGACAGAGGGGCAGAGCAAGGAGGTCTCCATGCCACTGAGCACCAGGTTCGTCTCACCCTCTTTGCTGTCTCTCACCCACAGTTACAAATATGTCCTGGACAAGAAGACATTCCTCATGCGTTGGCCAGATGATGGGGATGTGGGCAACAAGGAATTGCTGGACCAGCTGGAGGAGTTTTCAGAATATATGCGTAGCCATGGCTGTCAGTCTTGAGACCTTGAGATCTTTGATGTTTGGTGAGGGGCGGGTGTGGCTAGGGAAGGGAGGAGGGGGGTAGGGCTATCTCCAAGCAGACACCTAAGTCTGGCACACGGGGCTTAATCCAAAATAAAAAGCCTACCCAAATTCTTGTACATTTGTTCTTGCTCCAACATTCAGCACAACCCACCCCAGGATTGCCTGGGCCTGTCTCCTTCCTCTCTCACTCACCTTCTCCATTCCAACCGCATGAGTTATCTTTGTGTCTCTCCCAAGTTGTTTCCCATCTCAGGGCCTTTGCACTCACTCACTTCCCTCTTCTAAATGTGCCCTTCCTCCAGATAGATGCATAGCTTGAAACCATACCATTTTTGGATACTTTCTTTAATGACATAACTAAAATAGGCCCCCACCACCACTTTTCCCTTGCCCTGATTTATTCTCTCAATATACACATAAGGTATTTACTGGTTTGATTGTTAAATGGGTGTTTCCCCTGCCTCACAATGTCAGGTCTTTAAGGGTCATATCTGTCTTGTTCTCGGTGGTATTTCCAGTTTTTGGATCAGGAGCTGGTCTATGGTAGGTAATCAGGAAATGATTGTTGAATTAATGAATGGATGAATTTGGCACCCAGCCCGCACCTGGTTCAGGTACAAGGTTCAATGAAGAACCCCAGGCAATTGGAAACTGAGATATGGAGCAGAATAAAGTGAGCAAATTTCATCACTATGGTATGCATGGGAGGGGACACCTACCAAGCCAAGCCTTTGTGGGTCCTGGGACCCCCAACAAAATGCTAAAGGGATGAAAGACATCCAGGATGGCTTGAACTTCGAGTGTGGAAGAACTGAAAGCAGGGGCCAGAGAGGTGCTAGAAAACATGTGGAATCGCCCAACTTCATAAATGGCTGCAAAATACCAGGTTAAAGGTTTTGGGCTTTATCCAGGTTTTGGGGAGCCATGGGAGGTGCTTGAGCAGCAGAGCAACTGATCAGCCTTCAGGCAAAAAGGTCCCGCTGATGGGTGGGTGGAAACTGAACTGATGGCAGGAAATTTGGTGAGGGGCCACAGGATGGGCTGAAGACAACTGCATGAGTTCAAATACTACCCCCACCTCTTCCGTGACCTGGCCTGGCTACTTACTCCTCTGTGCTCTGATTGGCTCACTTTAACACGACTTCCTTCCCAGGGATTTCTGTGAGTATCCAGCTCATAGTAAGTGTTCGAGAAACTTCTGCTTGTTTTACTATCAATGCCAGTAGGGGGTCATGGGGAGGAAGTGGGACTGCTACACCACATGACAGTCACAGAAGAAAATCAGGTCACAGTCCGTTCAAGACCCTCCCTGGGCCCCCACTCCCCTCACACCATGTTCCTCATTGCCCTGCGCTGTAGTCCCATCACCTCTTTGACTTCATGTCACTCCACTCTCTACCTCAGTCACTCTGCTCCAACCACACTGGCCTCCTCCGTGGTCCCCAGAGACTGCTAGTCCTACCTTGCTCTGGGCTTTCATATAAGCTTCTCCCTCCACTCAGAACAGTTTTCCCATGGCTGCTTTCTCCTCATCCTTCAGTCTCTGCTCAGAGAGCATAAAATGAGACTCCTCTCTTCCTCAAACTGCTAAACATGGAGCTTCCCTACAACCCAGCAATCCCACTCCTAGGTATCTACCCAAAAGACACAAAAACACTGATTGAAAAAGATACCTGCACCCCCATGTTTATTGCTGCTTTATTTACAATTGGAAAAACATGGAAGCAGCCCAAATGCCCAAAAGTAGATGACTGGATTAGAAAGATGTGGTACATATATACAATGGAATATTACTCAGCAACCAAAAAAGAGAATCATGTCTTTTGCAGCAACTTGGATGGAGCTGGAAAAGATCATGCTTAGTGAGATAAGCCAGAAAGAGAAAGAAAAATACCGGATGGTTTCACTCATAGCAGGAGTATAATGGACCAGGTGAGAAAATAACAAAAATAATGAACAACCATATACCAGAGACATTCTGTGGGGGCAGAGTGGGGAATGGGATCAAAAACGGGGGGGGGGGAAGGGAGGGAAATGCATGGGACTATGGTGGTGGCACAGGGGTGATTTGGTGATGGGAAACCCACGGGGATTACAATCGAGATGTGCAAAATGATGTAAAATGATGTAAAAATAAACTTTGTAATAAAAAAAAAAAAGAGAGACTCCTCCCCTGGAGTTATCTCTTACCACAACCAGTACATAATTACATGCTGGATTCTTTACTTATATCTTTTGTCAGCCTCCTCTACCAAGTCGGGAACCCTGGGGGAGACCTGGAAGGCTGTCTGCCTCAGTCATAGGTACAATTGCAGCAGCTTGCCCAGGGCCAAGCTCATAGTAGGCGCTCATTTTGTTGAATGAATGACTAAAATAAGAGTGAATGACAATGAGAGAAGGAAGAAAAGAGGGAGAGAAATATTGGTGGTGCAACAGATTAAGCACCGCATTATGAAGCTATCTGCAGCCACTACAGCAAGAGTTCGATCCCCAGCCAGGGAGTTGACCCACAGGGCTCAGCAAATGAGTTATTGTTTTTAACTGTGATTATTTGGTATAATTGAGGCAAAGATACATTACTGGAAAATGTTTCAGTAATACATCATTTTGTGGACATCAGATGCTAATCTTCTTAATCACTTCTGAGGACTTTTTACTTTTTTTTTAATATTTTATTTTAACATTATTTTGTGCCTTTGGCTTCCCATCACCATATCACCTCTGTGGACTTATTACTTTTTATTTGTAAACTGGGCCAGATCCTAAATTTTCCTAACATCTTACGACTTTCTAACCCTACATTTCCAGTTTTTCTCTCTACATTTTTGGCTTAGTTGAGTTGGAAAGCCAAAACTGTCTTTTTCCATACATGCTGGAATTGGAGAACTTTACAACTTCAGAGGAAAGGTGCAAAAGATGTAGTGTCTAAATTGTGGAATATCTTAAAATCCCAAAGGCAAAAATGTTGGAAAACAAAAATCTTCCAAGAGACTAATCTAACCTAGGAAAAATCTTTACCAGCAGTGCTTGGAGCTTAGAACAAGAGGTACATTAGAAGCAGTCTCCAGTATGAAATGTATGGGAGACCCTTCCTTAAGGACTAGTTTTAATGTAACTTGGGCAAGGACCATACTGTTAAAAATTAGATATTGGGCCCTCCCTGGTGATACAGCGGGTTAAAGCACAGCACTAAGGAACTAAAGCCACTTCCACATGAATTCGAACCCCACCTTCCCCAGAGGTGACCACATGGCACGGCAGACCTCTCCTGACCCGCCCGCTGCTCCCCTCAGCAGTGTACTTCATCAGTCGGCCTGTTCTGCTCCCCACTGTCTCTGGTGAATCTTCTCACTGCCCCTGCACCTCGAGCCTGTACCCCAGTTCTGTATGCACAAATAAATAAATCTTCTTAAAAAATTAGTTATTAAGAAGGTGTACAATCTTTATTTCACACTCTGTGGTTAGTCACTGTACTTGTCGCCATCTCTTTTTCCCTTCAATGTGCCACTCCACTGCATAGTCCACAGAGACTAGGACATCTTGTAGCCTCAAAGTTACAGGCTAAATGAAAAGGTTGTATCATATCTTTTGTTAAGTTACAAGATGTCAAGCTTTGGATCCAGTACTCCCAGGTAAAAACAGCTCCTAGCTACAGCCAGGACTCTCCAAGCCAACTTGTGGAAGTCAGACTGCATGTGTCTTTACAGATACAAGGAGATAAACAAACCAACTGGCCAAACACTGTGTGGTCTTGGAAGCCCAATTGTTTTTCAGTGCATTCCTGAAAACCTCTGACTGACCTAAAATAATTCTTTAAAAGAAAACCTCAATATCATTCAAATAAATAATGAATCAATTTCCCTGTCTTATTTTTCTAATCAAAATATTTATTCTCTTAATTTTTCTTCACTTCCTGTTATTTAAGCCTTCCTGTTCTTGACTTCTGACACCTTTCTAACAAAGTCAACTCAAGTCAGAGCTGCAGCTGTTAAAGCTTCTTATAATCCTAGGATTAAATATCTGATTGTTATTTAAAATATTTAAAGTTACCCCAGCTGTTTGAGTAACCACTTTCAGTTTCTACATATACTCCCAACATACACATGATTAGCCACACCCATGATTCTCCACAATTAAAGGCTAAGCGGTTCCATTCCTTCAATTTACACCACCTTCAGCAGAAGTAGCCAGAACAATTGTCATACCCAACTCCTCCCATTCAGGAATAGCCAGACTCTGGGGGGAGGGGCGGAGGGGAGGCACTGAAACCTTGGTGGTCCTTCTCTGATTATCCTGAAAGAACAGCAAGGTGGGATTATGAAAGTAAAACAACAACAACACAGCAATGACAATCCCCGTGCCTCTGCTAAACAAGGGGGCAGAGGGTGTGTTGAAAATTTGATAACGTGTGGCCCTCCCTGGTGGTCAACGGGTTACAGCACAGCATTGCAAACTGGCCACAGCCGATTCACTACCTGACCCCAGAGCTGACCCACATGGCACGGCAGACCTCTCCTGACCCGCCCGCTGCTCCCCTCGGCAGTGTACTTCATTCATCTGCCTGTTCTGCTCCCCACTCTCTCTCTGGTGAATCCTCTCACTGCCCCTGCACCTCTGGTTTGTACCCCAGTTCTGTATGCACAAATAAATAAATAAATCTTTAATTAAAAAAAGAGAAAAAGAAAAATTGTTTCAGAGCACAGGCCCAGGAAAGCATTTACTGTCCTTGAGATGTCCTCACACTATGGGACTGCAAAATAACCAAGGAAGATACCAGGCTCCTGGTTAAACGGATAGCATTCAGAAGCGAGGTGCTGGGTTTTGCCAGTTTGGGACCCAAGTCCAAATTACACACGAGTCAGCAAAAAGCAAGCAATCAGACTCTGCCAGCTTACATTTTTAATGTTTTCTTTGTTCCCCAATCACTTCAAAATTGCCCACAAGCCCCATTCTCAAAGAAGAAAAGTGAGGTTTTC